CCTACCAGCGATGGCCTGCAACCTACTAGCGATGGCCTCCAACCTACTATATGCTACAGGGCATCTTTCGAAGAGTGTGGGGCACGGTGCGGAAGTTTCGAGGCCTTAAGCAATGGCTACCCATCTCCTGGCGGCCACACGGCTGGCTATGGTGGCTATGGGCCACAGCGGAGTGTGTGGAGCCTAGCAGCGCACAGAAAACGTAAGTTGTTGAGTGGCCCCAATTTCTTTCCACAGAAAAAAAAAGTAGCCCACATGGAAAGAACAAGTCAGACTGTCAGATGATCTGGTGCCGGCAAGATTTTTCGACCCAAGTCTTTCTGCGCTTGGTTGGGCCTGTAGGTGCCAGTGGTGCAAGGCACGCCAGTCTACCCCGACACGAGGCAGGCTCCAACCGGGTGCAGGAGAAGGGTATGACAAAGAGCAGCTCGGGATGGCCAAAGGATCGAGAATGATGCATCATACAGACTCGACACTTTTTGAACAAGAGCACACTGCTATTTGCCTCCAGTGGCCCGACTGCTTTTGCCAGCCTCCAGAAATGAATCCATGAAGTTCTATGTCATTTGGCCAATATATAACCGTCGCTGAACAAAACCCAAGCATGATGTTTTAATGAATCTACCAGCTCTTGGCCCACATGGTCCCGTGATTAGGTGCTAGACTGTGGTGCCAGTTCACTTTGAAGCAAACAAAAGATGATTCACCAAGTCAAGGGCATCATCTATTCAGGAAATGTGGCGGGCTGTGAATGAGTTGGGTCCTGGGGCCTTGCAGCTTTCCGACTCGCCCACTCGGGCGAGCACACGCATCAGGCCAACCTGGAGGCGCATGGACGGGGTATGGGCATAGGACTGATTTGCCACCTGTGAGCAGAAAGAGAAGCAGAAGAAATTCTCGTTGTATGGGGGTTGTTTCAGGCAACAAAGTACACGTACATGTTTGAAGCCACCTTGCAGTGACAAAGCCCGCAAAAACATGTTGAAATCCTTGAAAGCCAGACCTATATAATTAATCAGAGTGCCCCGTCAGGCTTGGCAAGATTTAATCAGCATAGTTTGTTTGCGTTGCATGCTCTTGATGTTTGCTGCTTGCCCTGACATAGCCAGCATGGAAGAGCTTGAACTTGCCTTTTGCTGTCACGTTTAACGACACGGATTGCTGTTGATGGCTGAGGTAAACATTGGTGCGATTTCCTACCTTGCCTTGGGCCTCCTGAAGCAGGTGAAGGAGACGAACGAGATTTCCGTTTGGGTCCTTGTTTGGGATTGATTTTTTGAAAAGGGGTCGCATGTGCGAATTGAGTTAGAAGGATGCTCGGAAAATGGCATGTGTGGCAGGACGTTTCCAAGATCCATCAAAATGGAAGCCAGAAACCGCTGATAAACACTGCTCTAGAACCAAAAAATGCATTAAAGCGGCAATATCAATCAACTAGACGACAGGGTGGCCCGAAAGCGAAGCAGGACAGAGAGGGGCATTGAAGGAAAGCGCCCTGAAGTTTAAAAAGTTTGATCAAGACCTTGTTGTTAAGAAGGGATTGACATGATGAAGAGCATGAACGATGATGATGATGATGATGATGGAGGATGAGGATGATGATGATGATGATGCAGATGACAATGATGAGGATGAATCACAATCATTGGGAGACAACAACACCTATTCTTTTATCACATGGCGCATGGGTAGCCCTGCAGGCAGAAGACTGGCCCTGCCAGCTTGGCTGCAAAGTGTGCCCATCAAACAGGCCATCAGACTGTGCCGCCGTCAGCCCAACCCACACCGCTAGCTCGGTTTTAGCCACGACTGTAGCTGATGCAGTCATGAGCCCACACAACAACAAATCTAAACAAACGACAACCACAAGGATTGATCACTGAAGGATTTTCACTTGTGTCAAGCCGGCGGATCATAAGGTTGTAAAACTTAACAAAACTGCGCGGGTGAAGTTCAGCGGTACGGTTTGCACAGATCGCGTTTACGCACCCTGTCATTTGAACCTGGATTCACTGGCATGTTGCACTTTAACATGGGTATTTAAAAATTGGCCAGCATCGACCCCAAACAGCAGCAGCAGTCGGAGTTGTTTTTCTTTTTTGGTCAATCCATTCCTGGCGTCAAATCTCCGTCCAGCATCTACCCATGGCAAAGGGAGACAAAGGGAGGCAAACCAAAATCATCTCAGCCCAGCATCCAGACATGCCATGGGAGACAAGGTGAGACAAAGCAAAATCATCTTAGCCTAGCATCCAGACATGCCATGGAAGACTAGTGGAAACAAAGGGAAACGAAGAAAAATCATCTCAGCCTAGCATCCAGATATGCCATGGAAGACAAAGCGAGACAAAGCAAAATCATCTCAGCCCAGCATCCTTTCTATGCAAGAATTGAGAACCCCTCACAGCAAAGCTGTTTGCGTAAGGGGGTCGTTTTCTTACGCACAAATTTCTAGCTATTACGGGAAATGGCAAATACTAATTAATCGCAAAAAAACGATCGGAACTTTAAATTTTAATAGAATTTGGCGGAAAATAAAACAAATATATATATAATATTTGTATAGGTACGAATAATTGCTTTCCAAATTTAAATGATATATTTGTTATTTTTTTGCTTAATATATTTGTTTTTTTGAAGTTTGTATGGTAAGAATTAAGGTCGGATATATTAATATAAATATGGAGCTTACGAATCTTAATATAATAGTTTCGCGAAATTAATTTTTCTAAATATTATTTATTTATATATTATTTTTATGTAATAACGATATTTATTTATATTATAATTATTATTTTCATTCTCGAATGCGTAGCGAAGGGTTCTTATTTAATTCTGGGGATAAAGTTTTGTTCGCGATTCGTTGCTTTTATATTCGTAATCGTCCGTAGTAACTCGCTAAGGCGTTATTATTGGGGGAAGCTTTTGCAAGTGATTTTGTATGGATGTGTTACGTGTTAGTTTGCGACGCGAGGGTATAGTGATTTGCGTGAAAAGGACATATCGCGCAAGAAGCGTGATGCCTTTCGCTGCATAGGCACAGCGTTTTGTGAGATCCGTAGTTTGTTACGTAGTTTTATTGGGATTAGCGTTTGGAAAATCGTATTTTTGGGTTGTCGGATGTGGTCGTGCCATTGGGATTTGCATTTTAGGGTGTGGCATCGAAGCTCTGTTTTCGTGAAAAGTCTTAGTTGAAATGCCGATTTTGGACCCTGGGAGTGTGTTTAGAACGGTTCGAAATTATTTTAAACGTGTGGTGTGGTGCAAATTTTGGTGAAGCTTACATAAAATGATATTGTTATTTTTCGTGGCAGGCGCAAGACTTTGTGCGGGCTTTGAGGTGTGGAAGTGGGATTTTCGTGGCAGGCGTAGGGAATCGTGAGGTTGCGATGCGTGACGGAGGTAATATTTCGTAATAGGTGCAGTACTTTGAAAGATTCGTGGCAGGCGTAGGGAATCGGGAGGTTGTGAATTGTGGTAGAGGTGAATGTCGTTGTTACATTGGGATTGGCGTGTGAACCGGTGTCGTTTGGAGGGGCTGGAATCGTGAGACTGCTTGGCAGGGCTGCGTGATGTATGTGCTCCGATGGGTGTTTCCGTTGGACTTTTGGAGGAAGTCTCGTACGAAACGTTCGTTTTGCGGACTTTGACATGAGAGTTTTTGAGGAAGTCTCGTACGTATCGTTTGTTTTGGGACTTGACATGTGACTTTTGGAGGAAGTCTCGTACGAAACGCTCGTTTTGGAGACTTGACGTGTGTTTTTTGGAGGAAGTCTCGAACGAAACGCTCGTTTTTGAGACTTGACGCATGATTTTTGGAGGAAGTCTCGTACGAAACGCTCGTCTTGCAGCCTCGCAGCGTGACTTTTGGAGGAAGTCTCGTACGAAGAGTGTGCCCTACAGGAGTGTCCCACAAGAATGTCCTACAAGAGTATCCCACAAGAGTTTCCTACAAGAGTGTCCCACAAAAGTGTCCCATAACAGTGTCCCACAAGAGTGTCCCGCAACAGTGTCCCACAAGAGTGTCCCGCAAGAGTGTCCCGCAAGAGTGTCCTAAAAAAGTGTCCCACAGGTGTGTCCCACAAGAGTGTCCCGCAACAGTGTCCCGCAAGAGTGTCTCACAAGAGTGTCCCTTAAGAGTGTCCCACAAGAGTGTTCCGCAACAATGTCCCACAAGAGTGTCCTACAAGAGTGTCCCACAAGAGTTTCCTACAAGAGTGTCCCACAAGAGTGTCCCACAAGAGTATCCCACAAGAGTGTCCTACAGGAGTGTCACACAAGAGTGTCTCACAAGAGTTTCCTACAAGAGTGTCCGACAAGTGTCCCACAAGAGTGCCCTACAAGAGTGTCCCACAAGAGTGTCCTACAAGAGTGTTTCACAAGAGTTTCCTACAAGAGTGTCCGATAAGAGTGTCCCACAAGAGTGTCCTGCAAGAGTGTCCCACAAGAGTTTCCTACTAGAGTGTCCCACAAGAGTGTCCCACAAGAGTTTCCTATTAGAGTGTCCCACAAGAGTATCCACAAGAGTGTCCTACAAGAGTGTCATTTGGACATATGTAGCTTTTCGAACGTGTTTGCATTCGGGTTCGTGGGCTCCATCTTGTTTTTTTCCGCATTTATATGTTTAATATATTTTAATTATTTTGTTTGTTATGAAATATTATTTTCGTTATATTTCGTAATTTTGCGATTTTTTATACGTATTACGAAAATTATATTTGTATATTTTAAAATTCGTGGAAAATATTATATTTGTCACGAAAAATGATTTATTAAATTAAATATTGTTTTATATGTTTGGAATGAATTTAATTTATTTTGAGTATATATTGTTTTATTAAAATCGTTATTTTTATTGAGATTTATGCCGAAAATAAAGTTTCGATATTATATTATGAAATGCAAAATTTAATAATACGATTATTTTTAAATTCGTAATTACTTTTAATGGAAAACGATACGATATTAAATTTATATAAAATAACGAAGAATTATAGGCAAATATAATATATTAGAATATAAAAAATATCTTTATTATATAAATGCAATATTTTATACAATCTAAAATCTTCTACGTAATTTTACTAAAATTAGTATTTAAAAAGATTTTTTTTTTCCCTAGAGTTAAATGATAATTTTTCATTATTTATTCGAGAAATTTAGGTAAAAATTTGATATATTTAATATATGGTTTTTTGTTTAATGTAAAAAAATCGATATATTAAAATTACGAGGAAATAAATCGAATTTAATTGAATAAATAATTATGGATATATTGATTTAAAAAATTCAAATATTTTTATTAATAAATTGATATATAAGTGCCATTTCTAGCTCAATGCGTTGGGCATTGCCATTTTCTGTAGGATGACACCATGTGGACCCCATTTTTTGATTTGTTGTTGGATTTTCGTCCTGGCTTTGATTTTAATAAATTTATCTTTGGAGATCTACCTCAATCCCAAATCTGAGGACCATTTACCATTTGATATATTACAAGCTGTGGTTGGCACGAGGATTCCTGTCTATTCCCTACCGGCCATCGGGAGTGTTATGACAGATCCCAAGTTGCATTCCTTGGTATCGTTCTTGTCGATAAGCTGTCCCAAGAAGGTCATACGACCTATCCTGGCCGAACCCTCTGGTTACAAGAAGTGCCTATGAAATTTCGTATATTCCTCACTTCGTTCCCCCTCGGCCCACCCTACCCTCAAAATCCTTCCTGACCTGGAATCCAGGTAATGACCTCAACTATGATGATGGATTTCCTGGAATGACCAAAATGGTTTTGATATCCTGATTCAGGAGAGTGGCTGGCGCTTTAGCAATCAGTGGCTCACAGCCAAGTGGACATGTATCCCTATATCTTAAGGTGATGCACAATGCCATCATCCCAGGACAGTTATGTTGAATTCCAAAAAGATTTATAACATCTTTTGTGTTTATCAGCATGCATGGAATGTCATCAGACCTCGTATTGATTTGTTAATTGACAGACAATGGTTGTGGCAGAAATTGGCTGATGGAATTAAATGTATACCACGCAATCATATGGATATGTGTGACATACGGATTGAGGTGGGAGAGAAAGGACGCAAATCCATCGGTTTTGACGGTGGAAAACACATTACCGTCCTTGCTGGCAACGAGGTGCAGGAATTGGTGCCTACAACTCATGGG